AAAAAGTTATTAATTGGACATGTTTTTATTGAATGTTGTCAAGATGGTTCTGACTCATAGCAACCCTAAATAGGGTTTCTGCGAAGCAGCTGGTGAGCTTGAACTGCCGACCTTGAGATTCAAACTGAATTTGCAGTCCAGTGCATTAATCCACAGCATCACACCAGAACTGAACATAGCTTGAATTTGAAATCATGCAAGATGGCAAAATAAAAATAGCATAAGCAACATCAACTGACAACCTGGGGCGGTGTAATTTCTATTATGGACAAGGGATAGTTCCTCTACTAAAGAGACTGCAAACCACAAGGTGGGCAGGTCAGACCCATCAGCTGCTCCTTGGAATCCCTATTCTGCATCACTATGAGTTGGGACCAATTTGACAGCCCTTAGCAAGCAATAAAAACTACCAAAAAATGAGCAAATGACATAGGCCATCAAAAAAGAAAGACAAATAGCATATGAATATCTGAGAAGCTGCTTAATAGTGGGGTGATTGTTTAGCCAGGTGTTTTTTTTTTTTTGTTTTTTTTTTAAAAACACTTTGTGATTATTATTGAGTTTTTAACAATTAAGGAGAATTAGAAATGAAATGCTAGAGAATTGACCTATCTTAAAATTCCCCATCACATGCACACACACACACAAACTCTACATTCAACCTTTTTCTACAATGTAGTGTAGATCATTCTTTTTATACAACGTAGTCCTGGTGTGGCGCTGTGGGCTAATGCACTGAACGGTAAGCTTGGCAGTTCAAGCTCACCAGTTGCTCCTCAGAATCCCTATACAGGGTTGCTATGGGTCAGAACCGACTTGACAACACTGAAAAACAATAGTAGAGCAATATGACTTAACAGCTGTCTGATGATGAATATATCTAATACATGTGGGGGGGGGTTTCTTGTATGTGTGGTGCAAACTGTGTGCGACTTAAATCGCAATACATTCATGAGATTTTTTCCCCCTACTACATCAGTTATCTGTGGGAAGTACTATATATACTGGAGTCCTTGTGTGGCGCTGTAGGATAAGCACTGGACTGCAAGGTCAGTTTGAACTGCAAGGTCTGTGGTTTAAACCCACCAGCCACTCCTCAGAAACCCTGTACAGGGTCTCTATGAGCTGGAACTGACTCAATCGCACTTAACAACTTAGCAACAACAGTGAGTAAAATCCTATGTTGTCTAAATTCATTTGTATTATTGAGCAATTCTGCTTAACCTGCCTTACCTTTCTCATTTGAAAATCAAGAGACAGAACCAGTTGCTCTGCAAAGCTAGTCCTATTGCTAACATTCACATTTTAGTTGTTAGTTTTGCCTTTATAGCTCAGTGTGAGGTGTAAGTCCATTAATGTTTAAATGGAAATAGAAATTTCTTTCTTCATGAGTATGAGAATATGGTTTATAATATATTTACTTGTTAAAAGACTTCAAAAGCCAAGAGGAAACAAAATGTATATGGGTTCCTTCTAAGGAATGCCTAGTTTCTGTGTACTTTGTTTCACAATTCCTATACAGTATATCACCTATCGTAGTGATTACCTTTCTGGAAACAGGAAAGAGAATCAGACACTGCTGAAGATGAAGCACTTTCCAGCTAAATAGCTTTCAGGGACAGAACTCATATGAGTCAAGGCTATGAGTGAAGTATAGGAACAAACACTATACTTCAGAGTACAACCTCTGCGTAATCACGTACCCTTCAACTCACTGCCATTCCTGAAACCTTAAAGGAGACTTAACAACATAGTTCAAAACCTGGCCCACAAATGTGCATACATTTCAGTCTTTCCTGCTTTCTTCCTTTGGCAGTTTGACAAAGGAAGTTGGAAGAACCCAACAATTAGTTGACAGGTGCTTAGTTGGCTCAAAAAGAAGTAGCATAGATGTTCAGGGTTAAGACCAAAATGATGGCTTTTTCCTCCTTCCCTGTCAGGTTTTCACAAATAACTTCAAAAGTAATTCACTAGGACAGTGCAAAGCCATTTCTGAGAATATTCAGGGGCCTATTTATGCTGCTATACCCATGTCTGAAAAGCATAATGCAAATACATACTACATTAGGAGGTAAAGAATCATTTCAGATCATGTTTTATTTTTAAAGGATAAATTGACCTCTGTATAACGACGTACCCTTCACCTCACCACCATTCCTGAAGACTTAAAGGAGAACTACCAATTGTTCAAAACCTGACCCACGAATGTGCATACATTTCAGTCTCTCCTCCTTTTTCCCTTTGGCAATTGGACAAATGTTTATTCCTTTACTTCACTTACAACCTTGACTCTTTGGAGCTCTATGACAGGCAGAGCCTCAGTTCACAGTTAACACTTTCCATGTGGGCTCAGTCACTAAAATGATCTGAAGACTAAGTCAGCCTGCAATCGCTAAGTTAAGAAACTTTTCTGTGCAAACAAACAGTTGCAGCTCATTCCCTTTCAAGATAAATCCAGATTTGTTTCCTACCAACAACCCACTGCTGTTGAGTTAATTCTGACTCATAGCTAGCCTATAGGACAAACTAGAACTGTCCCATCGGGGTTTCCCAGGCTGTAAATCTTTACAGAAACAGATTGCCATATCTTTTTCTATATAAGCTGGTGGGTTCTAACCGTTAATCTTTTGGTTAGCGGCCAAGTGTGTCAGCATGGATCCATTTGTTTCCTGTTTTTAAGTGCCCTAGAGTTGGTTCCAGCTCACAGCAACTCTATGTACAACAGAATGAAATAGTGCCCACTCCCTTCTGTGTCATCCTCACAATTGCTAAGTTTGAGCCCATTTGTTTCCTGGTTTTCTGAAATTACTAAAATCTCTCAGAACATTTCCAGCATTTGGTAAATTCATATGGTAGAAACAACAGACTCCTGGTAAAGGTACTTTGTATCAATACCTGTTTATTTCATTCAGTATTTAACAAGTATCTCTGGAGCACCTACTGCAAACCTAGAACTATGTGGGCACTAAAGATAATGTGAGAAAACTCTTATTTCTGTGTCATGGAATTTATCCAGAAAAATAGGAAGCAGTAAGTTAAAATCAAACAATAAGTTAAAGTCAAAATAAGTTAAATCAATGTAGAAAGCTGCAATTACATTAAGAATTGCTTGAGGAACCCAAAACAGAAAATTGCACTGACTGAAAGATGGTTCCAGTAAAATATTACTCTTGATTCTAATTTAGCACCTGAACCTAGGAAACCAAATACTAGTCACTCTTTTTTTTTTTTTCCTATCTTTTTCATTTTCTCATAAAGGGGTAGGGGGAGGAATATTCTACTTTCAAGTCTAGAAACAAAACATTTTTAATAAACAGATTGTCTGCTTTCTCAAATAAATGCAACATTGAGCCACAAACATTTCTGTCATATCACATTCACAACTATAAACAGAAATGATAGGGGCCCCTCATCTAAGTTTTCTATTCAGTATTTCCTTATTTTAATTATACCTCCTTTAATTGTCATCATGGAATATCAGGATCTTAAAGTTCAAAATCTTAGGTGTTCATTTTTAAACTGCCTTCACGCTAAGTGGGAGTCCTGGTGTGGCGCTGTGGGCTAACGCGCCAGACTGCAAAGCCGTTTCAACTGTAAGGTCTGCGGTTCAAGCTCACCAGTTGCTCCTCCTCGGAAACCCTATGCAGGGTCGCTATGGGTCGGAACCGACTCGATGGCACTTCACAACAACAACACTAAGTGCTCTGTCAAAAAAAACTTTTTTTAACTTGGCAAGAAGAGGAAATTCCATGGTTTGGTGAACCCAGGAAATTCTTCAGTGCATCTTGGATATAGAGTTGTATTGTTGTTGTTGTTGTTGTTAAGTACCGTGGAGTCGGTTCCGACTCATAGTGACCCTGCACAGGGTTTCCGAGGCTGTAAATCTTTACGGAAGCAGAAAGCCTCATGTTTCTCCCGCAGAACGGCTGGTAGTTTCGAGCTGCCTACCTTTGAGGTTAGCAGCCCGATTCGTAACCACTGTTGTTGTTGTTAAGTGCCGTCGAGTCAGTTCCGACCCATAGCGACCCTGAACAGGGTTTCCGAGGCTGTAAATCTTTACGGGAGCAGAAAGCCTCATCTTTCTCCCGCAGAGCAGCTGGTAGTTTCGAACTGCTGACCTTGCGGTTCGCAGTCCAATTCGTAACCACTACGCTACCAGAACTCCTTCTACCAGAATTCCTTGTATATTAACTAGGAGTCGCTTTTTCCCTGTATGAGTCTATCAGTTTCCCATATTAATACTGTTTTACAATACTTACTGCATAGAATTCCATTGTATCAATCCCTTAGCATTCTTGTTAGACACTTGTGAGTTACATCCCCCCCCCCTCCAAATTACAGATCTTTGCCCATAGTTCTGATGTTACTTTAGGGGATCAACTAAGTGAAACTGGTGGTTCAAAAGTCATGTTCATTTTAAGACATGTTGTTGCTAAGTGCTGTTGAGTTGATTCCAACTCATAGCGACCCTATACAGGGTTTCCAAGTAGAGGCTGGGGGATTTGAATTGCCAATCTTGCAGTTCAAACTGACCTTGTGGTCGAGTGCTTATCTTACAGCACCTAACCAGGGCTCCTTAAGATATTTTGTTGTTGTTGTTAAGTGCTGTCGAGTCGATTCCGACTCACAGAGATCCTGTACAGGGTTTCCGAGGAGCAGCTGGTGAGCTTGAACCTCCAACTTTACAGTTCAAACGGCTTTGCAGTCTGGCGCATTAACCCACACCGCCACACCGGGACTCTTGTTGTTAAGTGCCGTCAGGTCGGTTCCGACCCATAGCGACCCTGTTCAGGGTTTCCAAGGCAGTAAATCCTTACGGGAGCAGAACGCCTCATCTTTCACCCGTCGAGTGGCTGGTAGTTTCGAACTGCTGGCTTTAAGGTTCGCAGCCCAATTCGTAACCACTACGCTACCAGAATTCTTACATACTGCTAAATCAGTGGGGGGGGGGGGGCGGCTACAACCCCTACCCCTAACAATGCCAGAAGGGTGACATCACAATGAACCCAGGTTTTGAGATGGGTGAACTGGTGCTTCAGGGGGTGAGGTCACCAAGGCACCACTAGGATAGTGTCATCCTCTCACCCCTTTTGCTCCCCATCCCCCGTTTCACCTATAGAAAGCTGTGATGTGGTTCTTTAGGCAGAGGAGGATTAGGCCCCGCCCGCCTGCCTAGGACAGGGTAATGCCAAGGTTAGTTAGTGACGCCACTGTGATAAATTTTCTATTTCCACCGAGAGAGAGTCATACCATGTCCTCTCCCTCAACACGCTCACTCACACTGATTGGTATTTTTATTCTTTGCCAATCTGATAAGAAAAGTCAACTCTTTTGTCTGCTTTTAAAATACCAGCAAGGCTACTTTTATTTTATTTTACCATTTACACAGGCTTACTCAGAACTCTAACAATGTATCTTACTCATTCTTAATGTTTAAGCCTTGTTGGTGAAATTGTCTCGCTTGAAAAGTTCTCCCTCTGACCCATTCCATCCCAACCCTAAGGCATTCATTGTTGTTGTTATGTGCCGTGGAGTCCGTTCCGACTCATAGCGACCCTGGACAGGGTTTCCGAGGTTGTAAATCTTTACGGGAGCAGAAAGACTCATCTTTCTCCCGTGGAACAGCTGGTAGTTTCCAACAGCTGACTCTTTTGAGGTTAGCAGCCCAATTTGTAACCACTTCTAGGAATTTGGCAATGTACCTTGTCCTGTTGTGGCGCTGCAGTGTAAGCACTGGACTGCAAATCACAAGGTTCTTAGTTCAAGCCCACCAGCTCTCCTTGGAAACCCAATACAGGGTCACAATGAATCGGAACCGACTGAATGACACTTAACAACACCCTGTCCTTACATTTTTAATGAGTGTATATTTCACCTTCACTAAAACATTTAGTTGCTCAAGAGCAAGAACCGGGTGAAATTGAGGCTCAACATAATAATGGCTGTTAACAATTTGCCTTCCCCAGAGGCCTTTCAAAGGCAAAAAAGAAGAGTAATTTACATTCAGGGTTGGAGATGTAGTGATCAAATGACTTTGTAATTTTAAAAACTAGCTAGTCAGGAGATTTAGTAGAAGAAACTTAAGTAAGGGAAAATTCAAACACTTAATAAAGCCAAATATTGAATATGGACTCAGTCCCGACAACATGGAGTGCCCCAACTGAGCTCTGAAGAATGGTGGTGCCACAGGGTCACGCTTCCTGCACTCGGGGTTTCTATGATTATTTTTAGGTCATTGAGCTTTATACTTCGAACCAACGTTCCCAGAAAGGCACAATGATTACCCTACTTCCGACCCACCCATCCTGGCAGGGCGGTCTACTCTATTTACGTAGAGTTACAGCAGAGCTTCCTAGTTGGTATCGAGGGTGTGGTAAGAGAAAAGCTACGCCCCGAGAGAAGCTGATAGCCAATCCGCGACGCACTCATAGCGACCCAGTACAGGGTGGGTTTCCGAGGCTGTAAATCTTTACGGAAGCAGAACGACTCATCTTCTCCCGCGGAACAGCTGGTGGTTTCTAGCTCCTGAGCTTGAGGTTCGCAGCCCGATTCGTAACTCTGACAGCCGAATCCCCTGGCTTCGAGCTCCCGGATTGGCTTCGGCGGCCCCAGCAAGTCACTTCCGCTCCGTAGGACCAAGCCACACCCACCTGCCGATCCTTGAAGCTTTGTGACTGTGGTGTTTGTTGCGTTTAATAGTCAGGCTCAGGGGGTTACCTCTGCTTTGCAGACTCGCAGGTTTCCGAATGTGAAAATGACTACAGTGCCGTGCACATCGCCTGCCTGCCGCCGCCAGCGTCCCTTTATTTCCTGGTGCTTCTTTGTGCCGTCCCTGCTATCTGTGATGTTACTAATTACTTACACCGGTAAGACTCAGGAGAGAGTGTGCGCCTGAGGTGATGACTTGGGCAGTATTGGGGCGGAAGCTGTTTTCTCTGCCGAGGTACTGTCTACTATGGTGGTTACAGGAGCCTTCCTTCGGTAGCTGTGCGGGGCGGGGCGGCAGGGCGACACCCGCTGTCTACCTACTGGAACCTTGCTGTGGCAGCCAAAGCTTGATCTTAGCCATGCCTGGAAGGGGAGCGGACAGGGTGCTCCGGCTAGGACCTTGCTTTGAGGTTACTTGGTGAGTGAGATTTGCTAGTGTCCCTGCAGTACACACGAGGAGCGCCCTGTGCAGTCGGTGCGCGCTGGGCTGGGGGAGCCCCGACTCGGTTATGCCCAGAGTGTGCTTGGGGCTCGAGGGCGTTCCTACACAGCGGTATCGTCTGTGCTGCAAGGTGTAACCTACCATTTGTTTGGTCTGGGGTAAGCACGGGCTGGGGAAGAACATTGTTACTCCTTTTGTGCTTGGGGTAAATGCAGGCGTTGGGTGCCTAGGTTTATGAACCCTCTGGAAACAGGCCTCTTGTTTGTTGCCCGTGGCCTCCGCAGAGGAGTGCTTTAGTTTTGCAGATTGCTGCTTCAATTGTTTGTTTGTTTATTCTTTTTTTGCCATGGGGTTGTCTTCCTGCTCCCACCCAATTTAGACAGTATCACATTCTATTATAACCTTGTGGTTTTTGAGCATTGTTTTCCTTCATCTTTCGTTAGGTTGTGTCATTTGAGGGACTGTTTCAACCTATGGTAGCCAAATCTAGTTAGAAATTAGTATCCTAAAAGGAACTCTGGTAGCATAGTGGTTACGAATCGGGCTGCTAACATAAAGGTCAGCAGTTCAAAACTACCAGCGGTTCCTCGGGAGAAAGACGAGGTTTTCTGCTCCCGTAAAGATTTACAGCCTCGGAAACCCTGTTCAGGGTCACTATGAGTCGGAACCCACTCTACGGTACTTAACAACAACACAATGCAAGAAGGGTGTGGAGGCCATGTCTGACTTCCTCACACTTCACAGGGGGAAGGAGAATCAGACTCAAAATCAGCCCTAACTACTTAACAACAACACAATACAAGAAGGGTGTGGAGGCCATGTCTGACTTCCTCAGACTTCACAGGGAGGAGGAGATCAGACTCAAAATCAGCCCTAACTACTGATTCCTGCGAGTTAGGGAATTGCGCTCTACAACTTCATCCTGCCATCCCCCCACCGCACTCTGTGCTTCACATCTGAATTCGATAATTTATTGTAGCAGACACACAAAACTCAATCAGCACTCACAATGAAGGGTTTCCATGAGGAAGATCGCAGGGTACATTTGAGCAACTGAAAACAACTTCAGGAAGCAGTAGCTTTCCAATCAGGTGCCCCTCTTCTCTGCCATACTGCAGTCACGCCTTGCTTGCTCTTATCTTTGGCCTTTCAGCAGTTTGGCCCCTAGACTGCAAAGTATTATGAAACTCCTTTGGCTAGTATGTAAATTGCCAAACAGCACATGTGCAGTCCAGCCTCTTGCCCATTGTTGTTAAGTGCTGTCCAGTTGGTTCCGATGCATAGTGATCTTGTGTAGGGTTTCTAAGGAGCTGCTGGTGAGCTTGAACCGCTGACCTGGTGGCTTAAACTGACCTTGTAGTTCCGCGAATTAACTCACAGTGCCACACCAGGACTCCAGCCTCTTACCCATAGCCCACAGCTTTACTACATCAATGGGACTTGGAAGCCTTTAGCTACTCTGTCTCTCCAAGCTGCAACCCCATCTGCTGCCTTTATTGTTAAGCTAAGCTCATGGCTCTTCTTTCTTGATGGTGCTGGGGTCCTTTGGTCCTGCTTCTGAGGTGACTCCTTTGAAACCTAGTGGGATGGCAAAACTAACAAATCCCAGCATTTGAGTCCCTTACACACTGTTTGCGTGCATGTTCCTACCCAATCATTTGGTGGGAGTCACAAACACAATGGCTAAAAGAGGCATATTAAATAAATTCACTGTACCACACCTAAGAAATGTGTTGTTGTTAAGTGCCTTCAAGTTAGTTTCAACTCATAGCAACCCTGTGTAGGATTTCCAAAGAGCAGCTGGTAGATTTGAACTTTTGACCTTGTAGGTCGCAGACCAATGCTGCACCACACCATGTTCTTCAGAAAAAATAAATAATGACAATCTGTTGGGCCCCTACAGCTCTTAAGCTAAAGTTGAAGGCCTAGCCCACGAAGCTTTTTTCATATTTCAGTTGCGTGGGATAAGCACCTAAAAAGTGGTAAATAAATAACCAAACCCACTGCCATTGAGTTGATTCCGACTCTATATAGGGTTTCCACGGCTGCAAGTCTTTACAGGAGCAAACACGTTCATCTTCACAGAACAGTTTGTAGGCTTGAATTGGCAACTTCATGGTTAGCAGTCCAGTGCTTATCCTACAGTGCCACCAGGACTCCTGCTTCAGAAAGTTTGTGGACAAATGAAATGAAGAGTTAATGGCAATTTTCCATGAACTTTGCTGTATCACCTCGGAAACTATTATACAGGGTTGCTATGAGGCAAAACCAACTTGGCAGCACTTAACTTTGTATGTATTGTTGTTTCGTGCTGTTGTGTGGGTTCCAACTCATAGCGACCGTATGTAGTAGGGCTTCATAGGCTTCAAATCTTTGCGAGAGCAGAAGGCCTTATCTTTGCTGCTGAATGGCTGGTGGGCTTGAACTGCTGTGTGGTTCCAAATCCAGTGCATATTCTACAGAGCCATCTCCATTAGTGGGTTTGACTACAAGGTCGGTAGTTCAAAACCACCAGCTGCTCCTAGGAAACCACCAACCACTAATCAAAGGACAATGTTTTTAAAATATTTTGGTGTATTTCCTTCTAGTCATTCTGTGCACATGTGTTTCGAGGACCATGTTATATATAGGATCCTGTTACTTATATGGAGTTCTTAGATGGTGCAAATGGTTAACTGCCCTAGGCTGCCAACTGAAAGGTTGGAGGTTCAAGGTACCTCTTCACCAGGAGGTACCTTGGAAGAAAGGCCTGATAATCTGTAGCCACTGAAAACCTTGTGGCGCACAGTTCTACTTTAACGATCCAGGAGTCATTATGAGTCCATCCACTCGACAGCAACTGGCTATTGCGTATACACTTTGTATGCTGCGTTTCTTAACAGGATTTATTCAACAAATATTTGCCTTTTACGGGGCTGGTCTTGAAGATATAACAGAAACTGTTTCCGTTTTCATGATCCATATTTCATTATTTGTTTACACATGAAAATATAAGTAGCAACTTTGTTTTGTTCACTGTTATCTCCCCAGTGTCAGGACATAGTAGGAGACCAGTAAATATTTATAAAATTTAGAGGGTGATTGATATTATCCAAAACATAATACTAATGAGTATATTTAAACCAAATGAAGTGCTGTGAAGAAAGGCGCAGCATTTTACATGACAGCATTTAACAAATGACTGGAAGCAGGAATCAATTTTCTGCTCATCAAATGGACCAAACTGCCCATCTGCACTTAATGTTCCTTCTTCTGCCTTAAAACACACTCCTGTTACCTCTCTGTATAATTAACGCCCTACACGCCTACAAACTCAGCTGGAAGTCATCTCCTCAGAAGTGCCTTTTCTGACCACCCTATCTCCCATTTGCCTAACCACTAACTTTTGGTCATCCTGCCAAAACTCTCCTATATTCTCTGTCTCTTCTCAAAAGCTAGCAATCTTGTATTTTCTTATCAGACTTAAGGTTTCAAATACCTAATTTTATTTCCTTGATATTAACACTCTTTTACAAATGTTAAAGGGAGTATCTGAGTGGTACAAACATTCACATGCGTGTCTACAAACCAAAAGGTTGGAAGTTCAAACCTATCCAGAGGTGCCTGGCAATCTGCGTCTAAATTCTTGAAGACCCTATGGAGTGCAGCACACATGGGGTTGCCATGAGTTGGAATTGACTTAACAACTGGTTTGATTTTTTTGTTGTTGTTGTTGTTTATAACTATTAAGGAGCCCTGGTAGTGTAGTGGGTTATGTATTGGCTTGTTAACTGCAAGGTCAGTAGTTGGAATCCACCAGCCGCTCAATGGGAGAAAGAACAGGCTTTCTTTTCCTATAAAGACTTACAGCCTCAGAAACTCTATTATGTAGGATCTCTATGAATCAGAATTGATGGGTGAGTGGGTTAACTGTTTAATATCAGCAAATGTGTTTGGCAGGGGCTAAGAGCCCAGAAAGAAAGGAATTCCTCTTGCCCTCCAGGAGGGAGTCATGTTTAGAATGGCTGCTCGGTGGTTGGAATCCTGGTGTGGTGCTGTGGGTTAATGTGCCGGACTGCAAAGTTGGTTTGAACAGTAAGGTCAGCAGTTCAGGCTCACCAGCTGCACCTTGAAACCCTATGCCTACTGTGGGTCAGAGCAGACTCGGAGGTGGTTAACAACATCATCCCAATCTGGTATCTAATTATCAAGGGCAGGGGCAGCTGAGGCCAGGAAGGCTGTCTTCCCTTGCTTATAGAGACTAGTCAGGGCTCCCAGTACTCTAACCTTCCCTTTTGCTGTTTTACAGCGCCACACTGATCCTTAAATTCATTTCCAGTGCTGAGGGGTTAAGGAAGGTAGGAAGTAGTGGTGGTAAGAAGGAAACAAAAGAAATTTTTAAAAAAAATTCTATTTAGAGTAGCTGTAAAACTAGAAGCTGAAGGAGACTATGACTGCTGCTTGAAATCGAGGGAAGGAGAGAAAACAATGTATAACATGGAAGGTGACAATGCTAACACTAAGAGAGTCGGGAAATTGGTGAAGGCCAAGAGGTAAAACTTAAAGTTAGGCTACAATTTTTTGGAAGTCACAGTGCGAGGCAAGGAGATGATGCAGCGTTTCATTTTTGGAGCAGTTGGCCCTCTCGGGAGGAAAGAGGTGTATAAGCAGGCAGTGCTGGGCATTTGGGGCCTGCCATAACAAAGTGACTTGCCAAATAGACAAGCTGGAAGACGAAAACTTTGTCAAATTTCAGAAGCAGCCTCTTTCCTCTAGTCTCTGACTCATGGTGGCCCCATGTGCGTCAGAGTAGAACTGTGTTCCACGGAGTTTTCAGTGACTGGGTTTTCTGTAGTAGATCACCAGGTATTTCTTCCAAGGTGCCTCGGGGGTGGACTGAGACTCCCAGCCTTTCAGTTATCAGCCAAATATTCAGTTAATATTTGCTCTTCCTCTGGAAGTTTTTGGTAAGTGTCAAATTGATTCTGACTCATAGTGACTCTCTGTAGGGTTTTCTAAGCTGTAAATAGTTGTGGGAGTAGAAAACCCCATCTTTCTCCCATGGTGTGGCTGGTGGCCACCTATCGCTAACCTTGTTCTCAATCCAGGGCCAATCAGTGGAGCCATTGTGCGGATGCTTATTTGGATGGA